TCGATTGCGTCGCCACGCGGTGCGCATCGCTCGGTCGCACGCTCCACCCGCTCACCGCGCCGCGCCATGTCAGGCAACCGTACTACCACGTCGGCCAGCTTTTCTTCTGGGAGAGCGAAGGCGCCGTAGTCTTTGGCCTCTGCGCCGATGTCGACTGCCGAAGTGACCCCAACGACACAATCCTTTTATTGCGACACCTCCGGCCATGCCGCTGCCCACTGGCCCACCAAGTAGCGCCCGAGCCTGGCTGCACCCTGCTACACCTCTGCCTCGATTGCGACGACCTGCTCCAATGCAGATTTGCGCACGACCGCCTCAACAGACCAGACTGCACCACCGCAGTACTGCTTTCGCTCGCCCGGCCAGTCTCCGCTCTTCAATCAGTAGATCGACGGGATGGCCCAGTAGCCTTTTTGGTCCACGCTCCAGATTCTGCCCACCCACACCTATGCCCATATGTCCAGCTGCTGCGAGAACCAGTGGTTGGCGATCCCAACCGCGACGTGTCAGACTCTGAGGACCGCTCAAGCGACAGCGATGATGACGACCCACTACATGCCAGCGAGCCGGCTATTTTCGAGTACCCGCCAACGTCGAATCGTGGCCCGTTCACGCGGGCAACGCGGAAGGTGCTTGATTGTTGGACCGATGGCTCACTCCAGCCTGCCACCAGCGCCTCGGTAACGCTCATGGGCTTTGGCGCACACTGCCCCGCACTTGGCATTGAGCTTTTTGGCCGCCTCCCCGCGGCACCAGCCAGCTCGACTCGTGCTGACCTTTACGCTGTCTGCACGCTCGCTGCGTACCTGCCTCCAAGTTCTCGCGCCCGCGTCCACTCTGACCCTGCAGCAGCGTGTCTCCTTGTCACCACTACACTCTCGGAACCCACCACAATCACCGCCAAAATGCGCTCGCCGCCCACGCTGCTCGATCTCCTCCTTGTTTTGAGGGCAATTGTGCGCCACCGCAACCTGAGCATCACCATAGTCAAGGTCAAAGGCCACTCAGGAGACCGCAACAACGACAAGGCTGATCAGCTTGCGTTGCGGGCGGGCATCTGCGCCTCGGGCGTGCAGGTTTAGCAAGGAATTCCTCGCAGAGATCGACTTTGGCGCACTGTTGCAGCTTGGACACTTGCCAGTGTACACCAGCCTTGGCAAGGCGCTCCAGGCGGCATCTCGGGCAGAAGCAAGGGTGCAGCTCGCAAGCCATGTGTACAAGCTCGTCCCGGAGCCCGACATGCTCATATTTGCAAAGGCCATTCGCAGTGGCCGCAAGCCCGCCGCGCATGTTGCATCATTCTCCCTTGACTCTTTGGTCACTTTCCGCGTCAAGGTGCTCACGGGACGGCTCCCAACGCTTGCCCAATTGCACATGTACTGGCCAGATCGCGCCCCGTCACCGCTCTGCACGCTGTGTGGCTCTTTGGATGACCAGCAGCATTGGGTGGTGTGTCCAAGGCTGGCTGACGAGCGGTGGGAGCTTGGCGTGGCGGCCCACGAGTGCGTTGAGCAACTTTTGCCAGGCGCTGACACGACTCTCGCAGTCCAGGCAAGAAGTGGGCTTGCCCACTTGTTGCACCCAAGTCGCCTGCGCGCAACAGCGGCGTGTGTAGTAGACTTGGCACTACGCAGGAGGTTCCCCGGACTTGCATCCCAGCTCCCGCGGATTGTGGCAAGTGTTTCGTTGCTCATCTGGTGCACGGTGTGGAAGCCCCGGTGTGAGAAGGTTGGCTCGATTGCTCCACCAGGCCAAGACAACCAAGGCGCGACCAATTGCCTCTGCCAAGTATGCACGACCAAAGGTCAACAACAACGTCAAGTAGCGGCACCTGTGTCTGCAGCTGAAATTGCATGCCACTTCACACACGAGTTGGCTGTTGGTGCTCCACCCCTCCTTGGTGCTGCCCAAGACGACATCAGGCCGCATCCTTGGGCATTCTGGCATCACCTTGGTGCCATGCCAGGCCTGACACAACCGCTATTCGGACTTCAGCCATCAACAAAGCGTTTTGTAAACCGGGTTGTGGTGCGCAGCTTGTCTGGGCCCCACACGACTTTTGTTCCTGTCCTCTCCCTGCCACAAACCTAGCCCCCCGACAGTCACCCCGCCTGCCTCACTCCCTCTTCTGAACTTCCGTTGGAAAATGAAAACCACCGCAAAAAAAAAAAAAAAAAAAAAAAAAAAAAAAGATCGGATGTCTCACATGGACTGTTTGTTTCCCCCGCTCCCCTGCATCGATTGTCATACGCCCGTGCCTCGACCCCCCCCCCCAACCTGCACTCTTGATGCTGCCTTTGCCCTCACCTTGATTTCTTGCCCTTACCACCATTGGCTTTCATACTCTTCCTTCTCCCCTCCCCCTCCCCCCCCCACTGTTGCCAACCGCTCCTTCCATTGTGTTGTGTGCCTGTTGCTGCCTCTGGCAGGTGTATTCTGAGTGTCTGTTTGAATTATCCACCCTTTCCCTTCCTCTTTGGGTGTTTTTTTTTTTTTTAAATCACTATTACATGTATTATGCTGGACATAATCAACACTTTTTCCTCTTTGGGTGTTCAAATCTGATATGATTTCATAAATACATGCAACGTGGTTGACAAAAAAAAAAAAAAAATTACCAATTGCTTGCACTCTATCCTACTTGCTTTTGCCATTTCTATGGGTGTATTTGGACCTCTATCCTTCCTGCTTCTGTACGTTCACAAAGCGCTAAGTGTTGGTTACGTCTGTTATAATACATGTAATAGCGATTCAAAAAAAAAAAAAAAAAAAAACTCAAGACAAGCATGGCATGTCCCTCTGTGGTCATGCCTATGTCAAAGTGCAAGACTTCCCAACTGAAGTTCCCTCCCTCCTCCATCAAGTGATTGTGTTCCCCACACAACATTTGTTCCTGTCCTCTCCCTGCTGCAAACTTAGCCCCCTGGACATCAACCTGGCTGCCTCACTTCCTTTGGAAAACACAATCACAACAAAATAAAAACGCTGATTTTACGTATTTTTTTATATTTCACCTCAGACAATTACACTTTTTTCTTTTTGTTTTTAAAAATACAACCATCTTTGCATTTAGCGGAGACACAAGTATTTACACAAGTAATTTTTTTCAATCGCTACTGCATGCATTAAGACATGAAACCAACAAATTACACAAGTAACATAAACTCCCACACACCACCTACACACAACTCCCAAGGACTTGATGCACTTGATGGGTGCTTGTTAGCTTGATGCTTGGCTTGGCTAAAGCAACCACACACATTGGTGGACCAGGGCCTCGACTCGCAAATGGAGGTGGACAAGATAGATGGAGGGCCAAGCAACTTGAGTGGGGTTCGAACCCACAACCTTTGTCTTGCAAGACGGGAGTGTTACCACTGTGCGAAAACCACCGGCTGTGCCAAAACCACTGGCTGTGCCAAAACCACTGGCTGCAAGACGAAGGTTGTGGGTTCGAACCCCACTCAAGTTGCTTGGCCCTCCATCTATCTTGTCCACCTCCATTTGCGAGTCAAGGCCCTGGTCCACCAATGTGTGTGGTTGCTTTAGCCAAGCCAAGCATCAAGCTAACAAGCACCCATCAAGTGCATCAAGTCCTTGGGAGTTGTGTGTAGGTGGTGTGTGGGAGTCTATGTTACTTGTGTTAATACTTGTGTCTCCGCTGAATGTAAAGATGGTTGTATTTTTATAAAAAAAAACAACATCACCCCCTCCCAGCGGTAGCAATACTCTGGAGGTGAAGAACACTTCGAATCACAAATCAAACTGGCGACCAAGCATGACGCAACGCGTCTTCCTCTTTGGTTCCGACTCAGGCTTGCCCACTTTCGTCTTGCCTGGTGTTGGCAATGGACAGAACTTGGCATCTTGAGTCTTTTTTTTTAAATCGCTACTACATGTATTTGACTTTAACCAACACAAATCCTGGCCAAAAGAGGGACAGCAGGAAGGGAGGAGTACAAACACACCCACCACAATGGGTGGCGCAGGCAAGCAAGGGGGAGGCAGGCAAACGGTAGTAGGGGTCATTTAAGACCTGAGGGGGGGGGGACAAGGAAGAGCGGGGGGGGGGGGGGAGCAACAAACACAACAACTAAGACTTGTTGAGGGTAAGGCCAGGGTATGCAATGGAACCCTGTGCCTTGGCCTGGTGGGCCCAACTCTTCTCCCGCGCAGCCGCCAAGCGTTCCTCAAAGTCGTCGTACAAGCGAAGCTTGTCCAAAGCAACGTTGAGATCCACCTTGACGATGGCGAGGTCACGGTTGACCCGCATGGACCGCTCAGAGGTCTTGGTCCGGTGGGCCGTCAGCTCAGCCACATCCTCCATTGTTGTCTCCAACGCTGGCTTGATGGACTCAGACATGAGCTCAAACTTTTTGGTGAGAGTCTCAAAGCGACAAGAGCCCCTCTACCGAACCAGCAAGGGATACCAAGCATTCCTCAATCCCCTCAACCTTTTTTTTTTAAATTTAACCTCAGACAATTGCACTTATATGACATTCAAGGACACACAACCACACAACACAATCACTTGATGGGAGGAGGGAGGGAACTTGGGAAGTCTTGTGCTTTGACATAGGCATGACCACAGAGGGACATGCGATGCTTGTCTTGAGAGGCCAGTGGTTTTTGGCATAGTGGCAACACTCCCGCCTTGCAAGGCGAAGGTCGTGGGTTCGAACCCCACCCAAGTCATCTGGTGCACATGTGGTTGCTTGGTCTCTGCTCCACATTGCCTCCTTCTGTCCCCTGGCCTCCTGGCCCCTGCACCTGCATTGCTTGTATTCTTGCTTTGCGCACCCTTTGTTGGTGGCTGTACAAGAACGAATCAAACCAAAGGTCCAAGGCCCCAAGCAAGTACCCAAGTGCCAAGTCCAAGGAGTTGTGTGTTTGTGTGTATGAGCTTGTGTCTTTGTGTATCAATGGTTAGATCTCCCTCAGTACATAGGTTGCTTGTATTTTAAAAAAAAAAAAAAAAATGCTTGTCTTGAGAGGGACCAAGCGACTTGGGTGGGGGTTTGAACCCACAACCTTCGCCTTGCAAGGCGGGAGTGTTACCACTATGCCAAAACCACTTGGCATCCCCTCAACCTCCTCTTTGGTTGCCGGACAATCTCTTCTCAAGACCATTTTTTTTTTAAAAATTTTACCTCAGGACATTGTACATATGGTGGACAATCCATGAACAAATACACAACACAAACTTGAAGCTTGGAGGGACTTGGACTTGGGTCTTGTACTTAACACAGGCGGGAACACAGAGGGACACGCGGTGCTTGCCGAGAGGGGGCTCAGATTGAAGTTGAGCAGCGGGATCCACCCCGGACGGCTTGGACCTGAAACAACTTGAATTTTAACTTGTGCTTGGCAACCAAACCAAATCCACACACAAGCGAGTGGCAAGGACTATAGAATCACTATCCAGAATCGCCCCTGTGGGGTTTGAACCCACGACCTCCACAGTGGACGCCGGGCGCCTTAACCACTGGGCCACGACAGCCCTTCTCAAGAACCATCAACCCGGGCAACAACCTGCTTCGACACGTCGATTGAACGCCATTAGCAGGGCCTCTTGATCGGCCATGAACTTGGCCATTTGTCCTTGCATGGCCATGATCTTGTCGGCCAAGTCACTCGATCTTGCCAACGCAAATCCTTGTCGAGGGTGTCAACCTTGTCGACAGCTTGCTTGGCAACATCAGCATAGCTGAGACCGCCACGTGTTGGCGCTGAGGCGCAAGAGCGAGACGAGGGAGGCAAGACCTTGGCAATGGCAGGCCTTGATGGGCAGGCCAGCTTGGGGCGCTCGCCACAGGAGTAGCAGAGCTTGGCCGAACCAGGGAAGAAACGCAACTCATGCCCGTTGGAGGCAAGCTCGCCAGGGCAACAGCAATCCATGGCATCTTGTTGGTCTCATACGCAAATGACACGCGAGAACGACCGAGCACGACTGTTGTCAAACCAAGAGCGCTCGACCCTTGGCAACCAGGGAACAAGTTGGCGCACGGCACTGTAGCCGCACAAGACTTGTACGACATGTCCTTGTCGGTGACTTGCTGGCCGGTCTTGCACATCGCCAACAACATGCAGGAACTGGCCGCAGAAAAAGCGAGGGGACTGGTCAATGGCAGACGCCATGTCTAGTTTGATTGTCAAAGATGGCCTTGTAGAATGAGATCCGTTGACAAGCTGCTCACCGGCAATGGCGGTTGACTTGTACTTGCGCTTGAGGTGCTCAAGGGCGGTATCTTGATTGACAGAGTGGGGGATGGGCCCTACCCAAGCCATGAACGGGACGCCGGGGCATCAACATCCATGGCGTTGGACATGGCGATTGTATTGTGGACATGGATAGGGGTTGTGGGGGGCTTGCTGAGTTGATTGCTTCAAGTTAAATGTCTTGGCTATGCATAGAGTTAACGGTGACTTGCACTGATTGGAGCGGCAGCTTGAGTCGCCCAGTACTTGACAATGATTTCCTCAGTATCAAACTGCGATGCGTGTTCCCATGTAGCATCCTTGAGTGGGTAGCCTGCCCACTTGATCAAGTACAAGTACGACTTGTCCTTGCACACGTTTTGTTAAATTTTCCCTCAGGAAAATTACACATATGATAGTGACTTTCAAGAACACACAATACAAACTTGGGGCTTGGGGGATGACACAGCGCTGCCGACGCATGTTTTGGGGTCAAACATGACAGAAACTTCGGGATGTTTCTACAGTGTTTCCCAGAATTTGTCGGGCCCGGTTTGCCCTTTGTTTCAATTCTTGCAAACATACATGTGGAATGTTTCTTGGCAAAACTTGACAAAACATGCCTCAGTAAAAGGTTCAAAAGCGAATTATCCGGTGCCATGTATGCCTCACGTTTGTCGAGTTTGTTGCGCGTTAAACCAGTTAAAAAAAACGCCAGCGGTATTGCGGGACGAATCCCACAATAGCGCAGATGAATTGCAAGCATGGACACAACACAAGGAAGCAAGGTTGGTGCAGCAGTGGATACATTGCAAGGTTCAAAGGAGCAACAAGCGACGAGGTGGGTAGAAGAAGATGAAACAAGAGTGCGACTGGGGTGGAACGTTGCGGGAGTGCGATGAAGTGACCATGGAACATCTGCGACAGAGTGGTAGTGAGGCAATGTGTGGTCAGTCCAGAGATTCTAGCGCGGTGACACGAGTGCGATGTGTGGGTCAGCGTCACCATCACGCACAATGAAGCAGCCAGTTGACAATGGGGCAAAGCTCTGTTCTTGGTGTTGGGTAGAGGTCAGACACGTGACGCAGTCATAAATGGCAAACGAACAACTGGAAATGTGCCATACGAGGGTGCAGAAAGACATAGGAGCAGAAGGAGACGAACCAAGACACATTCCACAATATCGGCGCAAAAAACAGGCGGGTGCATGTCGAATGAGAACGGCGAAGGAACAAGTCAGAGAGGGGCGGGTGGACGGCTCCAACGTGCTGTTAATCCCAGACCGTAAAGGTAAATGAAGTCAGTGGCGCTTCAGCATAATGGCCGCAGAATGGAGCGTACATGTGTTCAGTCGCGTCAGTGACTGCGGGCGGAAAACGGAGTGAGTTGAGGATTGGGCAGCTCGGGACGCGAAAACAGCGAGAGGCTAAATGGGTTGGAAAGACGGTGGGCGCCAATGTGTCGTGATGAATCAAAAGTACAACATGAGAGGAAGGCGAGCGAGGTATTGAGGCATGTGAACAGGTGCAACACGGGGGCGTGCTGCAGGAGTGGAAGAACGATAGAGCCTGAGGGATGCTCTGAAGGGAGGCAACAGCAGTGCAGTTAGCCGAGGCAATGAGGCGTGGGAGAGGGAGGAGAAGGGGGGAGAGTAGGAGTGAAGCTGGCAATAATCGGGCATGGTCAGCTGGTGGGGCCGTCTGGCGGCGATGCTGGGGAAAAGGACGCACAAAGAAAGCAAAAGTTACAGGGCAGTGGGAGATATAAGAATGGCCTTGTCGGCGTTGGCGGGAGTGTTGGCGGCTGAGGGCGACAGCTGTGGAAAGGAGTTGTTAACGACGAAAGGGCACAAAGCCGTCCTTTGATACGAGCTCGAGGGAGGGTAAGGTGCGCTTAGCTGCTCAGGTCGTGGCAAGAGGTCATGGGCTGCGGGGGCCATTGCTCTGCTTTTAAGTCCACTCTGTCAACTCAAGGTTCCGCCGATCGTCGCCGCGAATGGTGATTCTTTCACGCGGCTCTCGGCAAAAGGCAGGGAGGGCCTTGGATGCCTCGATCTTATGCTGGACGCGTGACAATGCGGACGTGTCGGGAAACCTAAGGAAACCATCAAGAAACCATCACGTGAACATTTCCTCACAAGTTTGTCGCCCACCAAACCTAGCTCGGCAGCGCTGTGTGAACTTGATCGTCTTGTGCTTTGACATAGCCAGGAACATGGGTGGAACTGAGGATGCTTGCCGAGAGGGGCTCAGATTTTTGAGTTGAGTGGGCGGGATCCACTCTGGCAGCTTGGACCTGAAACAACTGAAATGAAACTTGTGCTTGGCAACCAAACCAAATCCACACACAAGCGAGTGGCAAGGACTATAGAAACACTATACCAGAATCGCCGCCTGTGGGGTTCGAACCCACGACCTCCACAGTGGACGCCCGGCGCCTTAACCACTAGGCCACGACAGCCCTTGCAGAATGCACTTGTCTGATGCTTGACGAGGGTGTTGTGCCCCCTGACCACACTCTACTCCACTTGTGCCTTGACTGTGGCGATATGGTACCTGCCAACTGGCGCCAGCAAATTGTGACGTGCCCGACTGCCTTGTCACCATCCCACTTGCATACACGTACCCCATCTCGGCGAAGTCTCTCACAACGCGTCGGGATGGTGTAGACGCATATGTTGTCCTAGCACCTAACCGCGAACTGCCAGAGCATTGCCCATACATATCCAGCTTCTTCCCTGGGCGTATCCAAGATGACATGGATGTTGACAGTGACGATAGCGACGGCAATGACAATGACCACCCTCCAAGCTCAGTCTACTCAGTTCCACCTCTCGCCAACGTCACACAACTGCTCACGACGCACCATGACACAATTCTTGACTGCTGGACCAATGGCTCGTTGCAACCCGCTACAAATACGGCTGATGCTGTTATGGGACTCGGGCTCAGTGCCCCCAGCTCAATCAGGAAATCTTTGGCCGACTGCTGCCCGCTCTGACCAGCTCATCACGCCCCAAGGTTGCCGCTGTTCTCGCGATTGTTGACAAAACTTCCTGCTGGATCGCGTGCGCGTGTCCTTTCAGACTCGGCTGTTTGCTGTGCAAATCATTCCAATGTTTCTGGGCATGTCCGATGCTGAAGCGGTTGCGCCACGCCACCCATCGCCGTTTCACGACTTGTTACTCATCCTTCGCGCAATAGTCAAAGAACATGGTATTGTGCTAGAGCTCGTCAAGGTCAAGGGCCCATGATGGACGTGGAGAATGAGAAGGCGGACGAGCTGGCTTGCTGTGTGCAAATTGCCGCAAGGTGTGCGCCTTTTACCATGTTTCTGGGCAAAATCGACTTTGGTGCGCTAGTGCAGATCGGCCATGAGTTGGTGTGTGCACAGGTGGGTCGCGCAATCCGGAATCAAGCGCAAGTGCAATCCCGTATCGAGTTGTACTCGTACATGCTCAAACTGGTTGGCCAGCCGGACTTGATGGTGTTCAACGGAGCCATTCGCAATGGTCGCAAGCATCATCCATGTTTGCGTCGTTTGCTGACGACTCATCAGTCACGTTCCGCGTCAAGGTTTTGACAGGCCGTCTGCCAACTCGCGCTCAGCTCCACAAGTATTGGCCGTCCAGGTGCCATCCCGAATTGCGTACTCTGTGGCGCTTTTGACGACCAGCAGCACTGGTGCAGATGCCCGGCGCTTGCCAAGTTCTCTGGACGTGCCAGCTGGATGTGCACGACCAAGTGGTGGAGCTGCTACGGCGCCATAAGATGACAGCGCACTGTGGACTGTGGACTGGCAGAGACCCTCGTCGAGCAGCTCATGAGCATGGCCAAGATCCGAGCAACGGCGGCATGTGTGGTTGATGTGCATCTGC